TGCTAGCAACAGGACGGGGTGCGCAGCTGCACGCTCCGCCACAAGGTTCGGGCGTGCTTCACCACCTCCCAACCAACCACGACTGAACATGCCGATGTAAAACGTGCCTCGCTGAAGTCCAGCCTCGAAATGTCCACAGCCGACACAAATGTCTTTCGTTTTGTCACGCTTTGACGGAACGCCAGAGGTCCTATGACATGATGCACATGTGAGCCTACTCTCGATAGCCTTGACCCCAAGCCCTATCTTGGCATAGGGGCCAGCCGTGACGGCTTCGACGCCAATTCTTGAAGCCAAAGGTCTGCTCGCTCCGTGCCGAGCCAAGAATGCAAGCTGCTAAGCATCACGAGCCTTGCGGAGCTCAGGCTTGACATGATGTTCACGTACACCACTTGTAACCAAGCAGCGATAGATTTCGACGCCTTGGTGTGGAAAGCCTAAGGGCTTAGAATCAGATATACGTACAACCTGTGACCACACATCTCACAAGTCACGAGCGGTTGGAGAACCTACCAATGTAGTTCCAGGCATGCGCTTTACACGGAGTATCTACGTGCCTTTTTGCGAGCCATGCGGGCCTGGATCTCTGGTGTCAATGCCGCCTTCCGCGCTGCTCGAGGCAGGGGCACTTTGACAGTGAATGCCGGCGCGAGAAGCCAGAGTTCAATTGACAGAGCTAGCAGGCTTGGCATATGTTTACATACGGCGAGTGTAAGAGCGTATCAGAAGCACGCCAGCAGCGATCGTGCAGGCATCTCGCGCCCGCTGCTGTGCAAGCAGGAGCTGCCAGTATCTCATCGCAGAGCTCATGGGCACGGGGTCGAGAAGACGGGTAAGCTTTCCCCCTGTCTTTGCAACGCTCGTAATGTGACAGCGGGTGACAGGGACGACTCCGATATCCAAGATAGCTAGTCACACGGCAAAGTCGCTGCAAGCTGCAGGAAACCCGAAAAGTGCTGCAAGCCTTGCGAACCCCCACCACCCCAACTGAAAAATACAGGATACCTGTAGTCTCCATTGTAGTTCCTTTCTGTGGTTTAACCAATTATATATTAAGGATTCTATAAGGTATCCCCAAAAAGGAACTACAATGGAGACTATAGGTAGTTGGAAACCTTCAAGCTCAACAAGCCGAGGCGAACTTCCCCCTGTAGCCTGAACTTAAAAGCCGACAGCCGGGGATCCGGAGAGGCAGTGCCCTGGTCCTGGCCTGCTCTGGGCAAGGAGGTCCCCGATGCATCGAAGAGCCACGCGCTGTAGTGGACTCCTCCTTTCCTGTCATTGTCATCATCGTGACCTTCGTCTGAACATCTCCGCCTCCGCCGACACAACCATCATAATCTTCAATCCCAAGAGGTCAGAGGTTCTCTGTCTATTGCCTCAGTACCTCGGCAACGGGCAGCCCCGACGCCCCTAGATCCAAGACCTGTCAGTGGAACACGTCTCGTAGACGCCCTATCTGGCTTGAGGTGAGGTGGTTCACTGAAGTGGCAAAGACGGAGGCCGGAGATCAGGTCATGTTGTTTGGGAGCCCTTGCGCATGTTTCTTGCGCACAGCCTCCCTCAGGCCCTTCAGTCCAACAGCGGAAGCGGCGGGCACGAAGGCAGATGGCTTGCTGCAACCCTGCAGATCGCTGATCTCGGTTTCGCCAGAGTTCCACTTTCGGACGCTTCGGGCCCTCTCTCCGTCTGTGCTCCAGGTCCTCCAGTTCCAGCGAGACCGAGGTCGGAGGGAGGATTCTCTCCTTTTTTAAAAAAACTTCTTATATATATATATATATACGTATGTATGTATGTATGTATGTATGTATGTATGTATGTCAACCCCATGCAAAGATGAACTTAAGCTTGAACCTTTCGTGCCCATCCCTGACAGGCCCGATCCCATGAGTTTGCGGTTCGCTCCTCAGACATCTCGCTACCTCAGGTTCGGAGTCCTCATCCTTCTAGGCCCTGCTGTAATTCCCTGTCTCGACAGAGAGGTTTGCCTACACCACCACGCCGTTCTTCCCAATCTGGGTACGCGCCTGAGTTGTTCATGAGGGCTTCTGCCGAGTCGTCATGAACCAGCATTCTGACGCACCCTGGTGGCATTGTTCAGTCGAAGAACCTGCGTGACGTGTACAAGAGGAAGAAGGCTGTACGACGAGGAAAAGGTATGCGTCGGGCCTGGTCTTCTTCCCTCTTTGCCGATTATATGACATGCAGACGGGGAGAGGGTACCAAACTCTTGATGTTTGAAGTCCCTCCTCAATCATCGGCAAGGCAGCCCCGTACATGCTGAGGTCCTGCAGCAGGGGCCTCCACTGGCGCTCGAAACGCCAAAAGGGAAAGCAGGCCGAGCTAAATAAAGCGTAAAATGGTCAGCATGCATCATGCATCTGTGTGCCAGAGCTTGCGAGTGTCCTTTCGCACGACGAATCTCTGTACCTTACACGGCTATGTGTGTACATTATATATATGTATGTATGTATGTATGTATGTATGTATGTATGTATGTAGGTATGTATGTATGTATGTATGTATGTATGTATGTATGTATGTATGTAATGTTACATGTTGTAGGTTGTCTATTCTCGATTGCATCTTACATTTCACACCTTACATAGTATGTATATATATATATGATAATCTATTGTATTTACATTGCACTACATTATATTTTACTTTGTGTTGTACTGTGTCGCATGGATCCCTCATCGTCTACCGGTTTATTGCTTAGGGTATTTTGGGTTTAGGGTTTTAGGGTTTTGGGTTTAGGAACTTTCTAGCCTAGGCGTTCGGGTTTAGGGTTGGGCCTCACCCTAAAGCCTAAACCCCTAAACCCTAAACCCCTAAACCCCTAAACTTCTAAACCCCTAAATCCTAAACCCCTAAACCATTGTACAGGACAAGGCTTTAGC